TTTAAGGTTGCAACCTTATAGAAACCACACCATTTGAAAAATGCTATGTAAATCTCCTTTAACCATTAATTGCCTTGATATTTCAACCGTCAATTGCCTTGATATTTGGAAAATGCTATGTAAATCGCCTTTAACCATTAATTGCCTTGATATTTCAAATGGTAGCCATAGATCTTTCGTATGGCTTAACTTCATTAGTTGTATGCACTAGTATCATAGTACCTTACCATGGATCTAAGAACCCACAACTATCTAGTCTTCATCAGACGGCTAGTAGTGAGCCAACAATACCATAATGGTATTTATTCTTGTTTGGTCACAATTAACGTGGCATATTGTTGCCAACTTACTGCCAGCCAACCTCCGATCAAGATTGGACAATTGTCTTGCCTAAATTACAATAATTGATTTGGTCCTGATTATTCATAATTAATAAGAGTCACTAAATGGTTAACATATTGTTAAATAATTGTGCTGCATAATGGAGTTTAGCCACAACCAGCATGCTCTCCAGATAAATCCTACTTAACCCAAATCAAAGTGGAGATAAAGAGATATGGGGTCAGGTATTACAGTTATTTGAGTTTATACTACGTGGAAGTTGACAGCCTTTATAATTATATAGTGACAATAAACTGATAATAACGTTATACATTAATTATAATTTGAAAAGAATGCAGCATTGCTAAAAATTCACTACTAACAAACCATATCTTATCGAGAACATATTACTTTCAATCCCCAAACATGCACAACTTATGCGTGTATGGGGACCATAGAAAGATTTCCCTTAAAGTTTTCCTCTTTCCTTTGTAGAAAGAAGAGCAAGTAAAGAAAGATGCATTCTTGGTCCAAAAGTTGCCTTTGTTTTGTGACATCCTATGCTTTTTAGATCTTTCTATGTTTTGCTAATGAGGTGATTTCATTAATGTGGGTCCTCGATAGTAGAACCAAATGAACGGCTTGCGTTACTTCATACAACATGGACGGATAAGATGATTTCATAATTTCAAATGGTGGGCCAAACTTGGTTTTGAAAACTTTTCTATTGTTTTTTTTTTGGTGAATAAATTTTCTATAGCTGATGGATCCCAAGTACTATTGTAAGACTTGTTAAAACGCACATCACACGCATGAGAGTGATTTTTTTTTTTTTTAATGACACTAGTGTGATTGATTTAAACAAGAAAAAAGTTTAAGGGCCTGCAACCTTACAATGTTGAAAAAAGGTCTGCCTAAAAAAAATCCAAAAATGTTATTCCAATGTTGAAAAGCCTCTAACTGATCATCTCAACCTCGAGATGTAGGGATGTCGAAAAAACAAGATTTGAAATTAGCAAAAATATACATCTTGTAATACATTATCTAGATTATCTATTCTCAATATTTTCATCAGTTTGTAGATCTGCTTGATCCGGATTTTTTTTTAGTTTTAAATATGATGTGAAAAATATTTTCAGATCATCATTGAAAATTTAGACATGAAAATTATGCCTTTCCACAAACTTTGAAGGTAGGACTTGCTTGGATTTTTTAATAGGCTGATACAAACCACACGCTTTATACAAACCTTGGTTTTTTCAATTGTGTGGATGATCTAGATCTCACTTTGTAGCATGTAGCAAGGCGATCAATGATGTCCATTAGGAAAATGTACGTGCATACTTCTATTTTTTATGGGATTGATATTGATATTGATAAGTTTCCTAAAGGTAATAGAAATACAAAATGATTAAGAATCTTGGATATATCTCTCGTTCTTTTGAGATATAAGTAACATCAATATGAAATTTCTTATTTAGTATGAACTCCTATTGGATGAAAGTGTAGAGAACTTGTGTTTCCTATTTGGGTCACCATATGGGAATGATGGTTCCTCTATAGAGAAAGGGGGTACGGCTTCTTGTGCATAAGATGCAATATTTCCTTTTAGAGAGAAGAGGGATTTTTTTGGATAGAAACATTGTGATAGTGACTCTTTTAGACTCCTGAAGATTGAGAGACTTGTTTCTTGTAGAGAAGTGGTTCCTATTGAGATTTTGGATGATTTCCTTTTTAATTAGAGTGAAAGTTAGTTTCTTGTTGATCTCACATCTTTATCTGATGTTGTCGGTAATAGTTGACCGAAGTAAAGAGAAAAAAGGGATAGTGGTTTAAAAGGGTTTGCTCGACTCGTTTTTTGTCGAGATTTGTTCCAAAATATTTGATGTAACTTTCATTAGTATAGTGGATGTAGCCCTTATGAGATGAACTATGTAAATCTTTGTGTTCTTGTGGCATGTGTTTTATGCTTTATTTCTCGTAATTTATTTGCCAAAAAATCAACTTGTCGGGTTTAGAGTTTCCGTACACAACACTAAAAGTTAGTAATATGACATCCTTAACTTACGGAAAAGTATACAATGAGACCATTATCTTTGATCAAAGGTGGTCACAATTAATCTTGAGCATTGGATGTAAATTTTGATGGTTGCATTTATTCTATCAAACAAGCTCAAACTTCAAATGAATTTTTCTCAAACTTGGCACACCCAAGCTATCAGTTTTTACATCGGATGGTTGTAAGTAATTGTGACCTACATGCATCAAAGGTACATGGTCGCATTGTATACAATCCCTTAACTTATATGGAGGTCACTAGGGTCCCTTGCTTATTCTTCAAGAATTTTTTGTTTTTACCATAATATTCTTAATCTTTTGAGAAAAACATAGAAATTGTGAATTTGTTTATCGCTAAACCTACCAATAAAAAAGATTAGTTTGCAAGTTTATGATGCCAGGACTAAATTTTCCGGCAAGATTTACAATGCCACTGTCTAACAAGACTAATTTTTCGGGCGAGATTTACAATGCCACTGTCTAGAAACGAAAACAAAATTGAAAAACGATATGAACTTATCATATGATATAGAGATAGATTTATATTACCCATCCTAATCAACTTGAAAAAGAATGAAAATAAAATGAAAAGTAGGAAGGAAAATAGAAGATGATAATTGACTTTGAATTGATTTACGTTGTTGACATTCTCTCATTATTTCATCTATGCATCTAAGGTACCAACATGTGTGGGAAGCGAGTTACCCGAGCTTGGCGCATGTCGATTCTCTAGCCGAATCGATGGAAACCAACTAAACTCTACAGGTCTCCAATACTTGTCTTTTTTTTTTGTTTTTTTTTTTTTTTTTTTTTTTTTTTTTTTTGGGTAATTCGGCTAATTCTACGGAAGACTCGGCCGAAAATTTCTACTCTACTTAGGAGAAGCCTCGCCTCAGGGGCAGGCTTTTGCAGGTAGCCAAACAGACCCTTAGGCTCAAGACCCCAACAAGTTGCGAACAAAGTCCATGTTCTCCAACACTGATATGAAACCTTTAGTGGAAGAAAATTGAACACCAAACCTAACCTGACTTACATTTAGAGCCGAGACTCTGAGTTTTCAATGACTCCAAATGGGGATCGCCACTAATTAAATCTCGACCATCCATGGTCCATCAAATTTGGTCGTGGGGGCTCACCACCACTCATAAAGCGGATGGGTAGGAATTACATGCATCATGGACCTATGTATATTCCATTTCAAAAGAAAGAAAAAGGAAAGTCTTTAACTTGCTTGGTTATTTTTTATAAAAAAGATTCTATAAGCTCATACCTATAAGCATAAAGGGCAAAAGATTCTATAATTTTCAATAATAAAAGTAAAAATAAGTCGAGCTCGAAATCACTAACATTAGGAAATAAAGAATTTTTTTTAAAAAAAGAAAAAAGAATTCAAGTATTGGGAGGCCCTGTTAGTATTATTATTATTTCAATGTCTTCTTCTTTTAATCACAAAACGTTTATTGGGGAAGCCCTGGACTAACACCCACTGGCGTTTACTGAAAATATCTCCTAAAAATTGAAATTCTCTTTTTGAATTTTGATATGTGCAAATAAATTTGGTGTCCACAAACCCTATTTTCTAAAGTGGCTAACGCTAGACCAATATTTTTAAAAATATCGACTCGATACCTACTTGGATCCGGTCAGTACTGAGAATTCATTTGATTCCCTTGGAATTGCATGTTCTTGTTAGTGAATTGGGCGAGTTTATCAAGAAACCAAGTCATCTGGACGGTCTGCATCATTTTGTTTCCATAGATTATGTTTTTATTTAACCTTTTTAATTTTCTGTTTTTTTTTGACAAATTCTTAATCAATCCATTTCATTGATCTAAAGTGGTGACTCCCCGATTCGCACCAGATTTCTGGATGCCCAGTTTACCGGCCCATCCAGGTTTTAAATTAATGGGCTAGAGTAGAAGTCGATTATCTTATGGGAAAAGTTTATTTCCTATTTTTATTTGAAGTTAGGATTTTTGTATTAAATATTTTGAAAACCTCTTGAATCACATGTACATGTCATTATATCTTATCCCAACTAATTTTATAAAACTAACTAATCCACGAACTCAAAAAAATTCCCCAATAAAAAATAGATGAAATATCTAGCATTTTTCCAAAAATTTATTTATGTATTGATTTCTCAGTTTATCTGAACATTAAATTTAGCAATGGACTCGGGAACCAAGGAGTAGACTCAATCCGGGTCCGAGTATGGGTCCAAAAATTGGACCTGGTAGGTTTTGTCCGGATCCAAATCTTAGACCCGAATACTATTTGGGTCCAAGTTCGACAATAATTTTCAAATCCTAATCTATAAAATATAATTAAATATATAAATATTTTAATTTTTGAGACGAATCTGGGTCCCACACTATATTTTCAAATCCAAGTTTGGATCCGACGAATTTGCATCTAGTCAGGTCAAGATCCGGTGAATTTGGGTCATGTCGGCTCCAGGCATGGGTCCCATATCATTTTTCCGGGTCTGATTCCAGTTGGACCTGACCCGACCCGACCCGACCATTGCCACCCGCATCTCATCTCTTTTTGAGCTCTTCTCTCTCCATTAAACTTAACAAAGCACATAATACAACCTTCTCTCTCTCTCTAACCCAACAAAGTACACCGGCCAGCAAAAGACTACTACTCTCTCCCTTTCTCTCTCTAACAAGGAGCGTGCTGGCAATTAAATAACCCGTGTAGAAAACTCCACAACGGTCGATTTCCTCTCTCTATTTCCTTTCCCCCTTTTCCAGTTTTCATCCGCTCCACATTCTGTAATTTATTCATTATAGTAATTCCTCCTCTTGTACATATACTTATTTATTGACCGTATTAATTTCTCTGTTCTTTTCATGGTTTTTTGAGATACAACCTCGAAATAACCAGTATGAAGACCTTTTCTCTGTCAATGTAGTATTTTCTCTCTCTTGGATTTGTTCAAATTCTATCAGCGTAGGGGACCTTCCACTTTCCTACCAACTTTCATCTAAGAAGACTGGCAAAAGAAAATCCAAAGCCCCAATTTCTTCGTAAGCATTGTTATAAATTTTTATTATTATTTCTCTCTCTATAGAAAACCCATTGTGGTTTTTCTGTAATTTGTCAATTTTCTTTCTCTATAGGAAACCCATATCTGGTTCCTCTCACTCGTTTCCATTTCTTGAACCTGTCAATCTTCTCTTTCTCTCTCTACATATTACCCAAGTTCTTTATTTCCCTTGAGGTTTGAGACTTCTCTTATTTTTGCATATATAAACATCCTCTCTCTGTTCTCCTTGTAGTTTCAGTCTTTCCCGTTATTGGGGTTTGTTCATCGTCTTTCTCTAACGAAAACCCATCTCTGACTTTTATTGTTAGTTTCTCTTTGTTCTGTTCTTCCTGGTCCTTTCATCTTCTCTCTCTAGGGAAACCCCATCTCTGCTTGGTTTCTATTTCTCTTTCTTTTTGCGTCTGTTGGTTTTCTCTCTCTAAAGAACTTTTCGTGGGTCTTTTGATTCCCTATCTAAATATCATATAACCCAACATGTCAAGACCCACCTCAAGAACACCCCCCAAACCTAGGGTTTTCAAGCATTCATCTGGTGATTTCGGGTCCTCAAACCCATTCGATTCAGACTCTGAGTCTGATTCCAAACCACCAAGAACCTCCTCTGCACCTGTTCTTGACAAATTCTCAAAAAACCCATTTGATGATGATGATGCTCATCTCAAAGGTCGTGGATCTTCATCCACTAATTCTAAGACCTCTTCTCTCTCCCGAAACCCTTTCAGTGATGGAGAAGAAGACCATGAAACCCCTTCCATACCCAAAAAAGCAAACCATAGAACCCCAAAGTCTGATGAGAGTTCTTATAGAATTAGGGGTGGGAAATTTGTTTCTCATGTGAAGGATAAGGCCTTATCAGTTGGGGAATCAGCCATGAAAACCGCGGAAAAATTGAAGGAGAGTAGTGTTTTACAGGCTCAAAAAATCACTGCTAAGAAAACAAAAGGAGAGATCAATTTGAACCCAGATTTTGATATCCAGAACAGAGAGCAATTGTTTGATGAGGGAGAAAGGAATTCATCTAGCACCACTGGTTTTTCAATTGCTAGAAACCATTATAAGAATGACTTTAGGGACAGTGGTGGCTTGGAGAATCAAACTGTTGAGGAATTGGAGAAATATGCAGTGTACAAATCAGAGGAAACGACGACAACTGTCAATAATTGTTTGAAGATTGCAGGGGAGATGAAAGAGGATGCGACGAGGACTTTGATCACTTTGCACCAACAGGGTGAGCAAATTCACCGAACCCATCTCGTGGCTGCTGATATTGATCATGATCTTAGTAAAGTAAGTCTCTTGTTTTGATTCTCTCACTATAGTCCTTTTCCTTTTTGGTTTTCTGATAATTAACAGAGAAGAAAGATGGTCATGTCAAGTTGCATATGGATGATTTTAAACCTTGGATTTGCTGTATAATTTTTTGCATTTCTTGTTTGGTCATTTAGTTTGATTGTTTTAGTAGCTAGAGGTATCTTTTATCTGCACCACGGTTACAAGCGCTTTTATGAGTTATTCAGTTATTTTTCTTGCTTGCTAGAAGGTATATGATCCTTGCGGTTGTTTGAGTCTTTGAGAAATGTTATTGGTCAAGTTGATACATCCATGTAATTTCACTTTTACTGCTTTGATGACTTGCCACGGTGTGTTGTTCTCTTGTGTTGTTACAGTAATTTCTTTTGACCTTTGTTTTATTAATTTTTTGTTCTTCTATTCTACTGTTTTCCCATTGCCCGTGGTGTGTTTCATCAATTCAATGGTTATATGGCTAGTTATCTTTCTGCTTACAAGGGATTAGACGCTTTGAGAAATATTACTGGTCAAGTTTATATATTCATGTAATTTCTCCTTTTTTGACACTGTCTTGCAATCAATTATTGTTTTACTCTGATTTTTTCTATATTTTTCTTATATCGTCTGCTATCTTTTCCTGTATATGAATGTCTTTGGATGCCCTTTGTGCTCTTTTAGGCTTTTTGCATTTAAGGATTAGTTATTTGTACTTTTTATAATAAGTGATTGGAACTTAGGCAATGCACTCTAATATTTGTTGAGAAACTGGAAATGGTAATTACAGTGCATTTCATTTTATGTTGCTCGCTTTAATGAGTACATACCATCAAAAGAAATGCCTAAGATGATGGTTGCTGGGTGCTGGCAAAGCATTATACAAACCACTTAGGGCAAATAACCTAACTTGTGATAAGAAACTAGTGATTAAAATGTTCTCATTGAAGTTTGTGGCTGAGAGGATACAGTCTTCCTTGAAAGCTTGTTCCCTTGCATTAAAATATATCTCATTTGATATACCCCAAAAAAAGATATCTCATCTGAAGGACTTATTCTCTAAAACCCTTTACATTTGTTCATATCAGCTAGTTCACAAAGACTATGGTGTTTAATATTCTAGATTTATTTAAGCTCATCAAAAAAATACAATAAAAATAGAAGATGTAGATTTGCTGTATGCTATATGTTTTTGTTTTCATGGATTATGTTTCTAGATGCTTCATTCTATTTCTAATACGACTCCCTTTTGTTTCCAGTGTAGTTTTGAGACGTGTTTCTGGAATTTCCATTTTGTTTTCCACTGTTTCGCGTTGTATGTCCTAATTGTATTTCCCAAGAAGTTCCAAATCACAAAGAAAGAGTATATTATATTTCATAAGTAGATTATGTTATCAATGTTGTAAAACTCGGATTTGACTGCCTAGGCAGCCAAAGGTCCAGACTGCCTAGGCGGCCAAGGGTCCAGGCTGCCTAGGCAGGCGCCTAGTTCCCTAGGCGGCCCATCCAGGAAGGAGGGGTTATAGGCCTGATAAATGTGTTTGAGGGGCCCAAATTGATCCTACTATGTCAGAAACCATTCTTTTCAGAAATAGAAATAGAAAACATTGTCTAAGTCCCTGAAATTTCAAACACTGAAGTTAGCAAACTTTGAGAAATAATTAGTAGAACACAAAAAAGTTAACACTTTCAAACAAAATTAGTAAAACACAAATTTGAAAGATTACTATTTCAATTGAGAGACAAATTTAAGGCCACTAAAGTAGATAAATCTATTTGGATTAAGTTTATTGACATTGTTTTAAAATTTGGTTACCCAATCTTAGTAAAATGCCATTAAACACAAACCAAAACCCACTCTTGAATATGGGCCCCAAATCCAAGGTTCCAAACATAAACTTGAAAAAGAAATACAAGAATAAAAACCAAACAAGCAAAAAAAGAAATGATAATAACTAACCACCCAACATTTATATGAAACAACGAAACCCCTAAACAAAAAAAAATTAAAATAAACTAACCTTTCAAAATGCAATAGATCTTGTGTTGAATTGGTAATCATGGGTTGCCAAGAGTCTTCTTTCACAAGCACTTCAAGCCACAAAAGGTATAGCGTTGAAGGCTTTTCTATTATGCACGAAATTAAAAAGTTCATAAAAGAAATTTAATCTTCAAAAAAATCTTGATATTTTGAATGCGCCTAGGCGAGCCCTCGAATGCCTAGGCGGACACCCAGACACCTCAATGGCTAAGCTGCCCACGTAGGCCTATATGCTTTGGTGAGGCCTCCTGACCTCTTGGGCAGCCCGGCGCTTGATTTTTCAAGCAAAGGATGCGATAAGTAATCATTACATTTTTCGGTTCTCCCTGCCTATATGTGTATGTATTTTCACGTGCATGCATGTATGAGTGTATTGATTATTTATATTTGTATGCATATGGTATAAGAATTTGCAATGATCATAATTTTTTACATATTAGTTGCAGATGGCCCATGTTCTTGATGTAGAACATGCATGGGTGCAATGACATGCATCAGGTTTGACCATAGTTTCCTAGAGAGCTGGTTTGGTTGTGCATCCTCCATACTTGTCATGCAAGCTTTGGGCATTGTGCAAACCATTATGGGGCTTCTTCTTCTTCAGGGGCCATATGATGTATATGAAATATGTAGCAACATAGAATAGGAACCTAGTCAAAGATATTAGAAGGGTGACTGAACAAAATTAGGGGTGTGCTGCTTTTAGACATTCAAGGCATATGTATGCCATCCCTATTATATATACTCAACAAATTTTGGACATTTCTATACTCTTATTTTGTACATGGAACATTTTTATCATAAGTGTATTTTTGGTCATTAGGAGGTTGTGACATTATCCACATGGGGTGTGACATCACCCACATGGAGCACACTAGTGGCATTTAATGCTCCATGTGGGTGATGTCACAAACCATGTAGATGATGTCACGTCTCTCCTAATAACAAAAAATGCCCTTACTAAAAAAAACTCTATGTACAAAACAAAAGTATATAAGTGTCCAAATTTGTTGAGTACAATGATAAATTACTCCATAGTGTGAGTATCCTAACATAACCCATATATATATATATATATATATATATATATATATATATA